GTCTGGTGCATAACATGCTTTATCTTTATTTGAAATATTTTTTACATTTCTCCCTTCTCCCAATAGATTAAAAGGGGTTTTTTTTAGCTTTTTTTTAAATAAATTAGTTTTTTTCATTTGAAATGAATGGAAATGTGGAAATCTCTTTTGTAGATGGAGGATTAGTGGATGTGAAAATAGGACTTGTTAACCCTCATTATAATAAATATGTAACACTCCTAAAACCTTTCTTAAAAACATTAAATACAAAAATGAAGGACTTGTTTGAAAAGACACGGGTGAGGAGAAAGAGAAAAGCCAAACCAAGAAAAGAGCACTTATTAATGAGTAGGCTTTAGGAAGACAAAATATAAGCAAAAAGAAAAAACAGTCCCTGCCATGAAGGAGTTAACATTATAATCAAGAATACAATACACAAAAAGGATCAAGAAAAGCAGGGAGGGGATAGGAATTATTGGCAGTGAGCATGGTATTAAAGTCTAAGTCCAGAGAATCAGAAGCAGAGACAGGAAGGGAAAGAAGGTCAGCCAGGTTGGAGCACTCTTCCTATAGGGAAGTCCAGGGAGCATGTCATCTGTGGGAAAAGGAGGACCATGTGGCAAAAGATAATGAGTTGTTTTGAAAATGCTGAGTTTGAGATGTCTATGTGACATATGATATATATCCAACAAAGAGCTGGTGATGTATATTGGGGCTACATCAGGAGAGAGACTAGGGCTAGATATAAAGACATGGGAGCCATCTAAATAGATATGATCATTGAACCCTGGAAGCTATTAAGATCACTAAGAGAAGGGGTGTAGAGATAGAACAGAACAGTGACCAGAAGAGAGCCTTGGGGAAAATAGACATAAGAGATTCAAACAGCCTCCCCTGCCCTGCTTTCTTATTACCTGCATGACCCCAACCAAGTCACTTAACCCTTCCGTGCCTGTTTCTTTGTAAAATGAGAAGGTTGGATTAGATGACTGTTAAAGTCCCCTCCATCTTTCAATCTACGATCTTATATATTTTAGATTCACAAAACCATTATAAACAAGATAGTATGATATTCATTGATGAATCTCTTAAGTAAGGACCAATACTGACAGTAAAACAAAGAATTGATTACAATGACTGGTTTTCGTTTTAGCAGTAGAGTATTTACTCCAATTATATTTGAAAGAGAAACAGATTTATGTGCAACCCATTTCTGCAGTCCACACAATTCTTTCAATATTTAACATTAAAAGCAAAGAGCTCCTCCTAGAATCTTCCTTTAAGAAGAATACCCAAGGCTCAGATGTTTTTTGTGTGTTGTCTTCCCTCATAAGACTGCAAGCTATTTGAGGATAGGAGCTGTCTTTCTTTTTCATGTTTGTATCTTCAACACTTAGCACAGGCCTGTCACATAGTAGGAACTAAATAAATGTCTAGTGACTAATATAAAAGTTGGATTCAACAAGTATTTATTGTTCGCTATTTGCCAAGCACTATAGCTTTAGGAAGTGACCAAACAAAAAGTAAAAAGGCCCTGCCCTAAAGAGGCATACATTCTGTTGGGGACAGGAATACAATGTTCAACAATAAGTAAAGACAAAAAAGATGCAAAATTAATAAAGTAACTTCAGATAGGACAGTAATAACTAGGAGATTAAGAAAGCCCAGAGAGAAGATAGAAAGTTGAACTGAGAGAAAGTTCAGACTTTATGAGGCATAAGTGAGAAAAGAAAACATTCTAGGAATAGAGGACTAGCCTATGCAAAGGCATGGATGGGAGAGACTTAATATTGTACATAAGGTATGAACAGGTCAGCTCGGCTAAAATGTACAGGGTAACAAGCATGTAATTTGCAACTGAATAGGAAAAATAGAATGGAATCAGATTGTAAAGTGTTTTTGTTTGTCTTAAATTTAGCTTTTTTTATTCAGAATACCACTAAATAAAAAAAGCATTTATGTATACAAATAAGAACAAGTTAAAAAAAAAAGAGTATATATATAAATTTGAAATTCTTATGTGTAGCTTCCTTTTTCTTTAAGTATATATTGAATTCAACACACAACTCCTTCAAAGCAGTTCTGACTGTCTATATTTCCTTCTGTCTTAATTCTCCAATGACTTCTCTCTCCTGTCTCAGCTTCAACTTCTTATCTGTAAAATGGAGATAATAACAGTACCTACACCTCATAAGTTATTGGGAGGAACAAATGTGATTACACATGCAAAGCACTCTGCAAATCTTAAAGTGATATAAATGTTACCTGTTATTGCTTTTTTTGTAATTTCTATCCCCATCTAACCTCTTCCTCCCACCACTACCCCAATTAAAAAAAAAAAAGAAAACCAAAAACTTTATAATAAATAATCAAAGTCAAGGAAAACAAATTTCCACATTGGCCATGCCCAAAATGTGCAAATTTCATTCTGTACATTTAATCTACCATGTTTCTATCAGTAGGTGGGTAGTAAGCTTCATCATGAGTCCCCTAGAATCTTGGTTAGTCATACAGTTGATCAGAATTCTTAAGTCTTACAAAATTGTTTTTCTACATAATGTTGGGATTATATACGTGGGGTTCTTCACATTTCATTCTGCATAAATTCATCTATATCTTCCCGGGTTTCTCTGAAACCATCACTTCCACCATTTCTTAGGAAAAACAATATTACATTGTCACAATTCTATAATTAAAGGGGACTCCTTTAGCTTCCATTTCTTTGCCATAACAAAAAGAACTGTAACAAAAAATTTTGTATGGATGGATCGCTTTCCTGTTTCTTTGATCTCTTTAGGAAATAGGTTTCTTAGCAGAATTTCAAGGTCAAAGGCATTGCAAAGTTTAGTGACTTTGGGGGGATACAGTTCCATGTTGCTTTCAAGAAAAACTTAATTAATTCATAGTTCCACCGACAGTACATTATTGTGCCAGTTTTCCCACTGCTCCTCCAATAAATATTTTCTCTTATTGTCCTCTTACATTGTCAAACTGACAAGCATGAGGTGGAACCACAGAGGTTGTTTCAATTTGCATTTCTCTGATTAATAGTAATTAGTAGCATTTTTTTACATATATGCTGATCTTAGAATTTCTCCTACAAGAACTACAGATTCATATCCCTGGATCATTTCTCTACTAAAGAATAACTCTTGTTATATATTTGAATTCCTTTCTTATTTAACTTGGATATGAAACTTTTATCAGAGAAAAATGCTGAAAAATGTTTTCCTTCTAACTATTTGCCCTCTAATAAACTACATGATATTTGTACAAAATGTATATAATTTCATGTAAGCAAAACTGACCACTTTCTCTTCTGTGATCCTCTATCTCACTTATTTGGTCATTAACCAGTTTTCTATCTAGTTGCAAAAAGTTTCACCTTCCTTGATGCTTCAGTTTGTTATCTGAGCCTTATATCTAAACAATACATTCACTTAAAGCTTACCTGAGTATATGGTGTGACCCCATTTCATACCTAATTTGTTCTAGACTGGTTTCTAGTTTCCCCTGCAGCATTACTCCATACTCCAGGACAAAGGAGATGTGTATGTATCAAAAACTATGTTAATTTGCTTCTGGATCATGTACTACTATTTTTGATTAATCAACCTTTTTCTTAATCAGTGCCAAATAGTTTTAATGATTACTACTTTGTAGTGGAGTTTGATATCTAGCAGTACAGCTAGGCTCTCTTCATTCTTAATATTTTTCATTATTTTCCTTGAGATTCCTAACCTTTTAATCCCTCTAGATGAACTGTCAGTTATTGTTAGTTGGTATGGCACTGAATTAAAAAATTAATGTGGGTAGTATTGCCATTTTTAATAATAATAGCTAGTATTTGTATGTTTTACAAATATCTCATTTTATCCTCACAATTATCTTGGGAGGTAGGTGCTATTTTTATGCCTATTTTACAAATGAAGAAACTAAGGCAGAGAGAGGGTAAGTGACTTTTCTAGAACACACAGCTATTAAGTGCCTGAGGAGAAATCTGAAGGTGATTCTTCCCGACCCCACAGCCAGCACCCTGCCACTGAGCTGCCTTTATTATGTCTTTTATTATACTGGCATGGTCTACTTACTAGTAATTAATATTTTACCAAGTATTTAGATCTTTCTTTGTTTCTTTAAAGAGTTTGTAGTTGTTTTCCCCTAATTCCAGCATATTTCATATTAGGTAGAATCCCAAATATTTTATGCATACTAAAGATAATAATGAACAAAATTTTTCTTTCTATCTGATCCTACTGGGTTTTGTTGGTAATCAATCAGCAAGCATTTATTAGGTCCTTGGGGCCCCAGACACAGGTACAAAAAATAAAACAAACTCTACCCAAAATAAACTTATAACCTTAAAGAGAAGAACTAAGTGAAGTAGAGGGAAGAAAGGGGTGCATTAAGAGCAGGTGGGACGGCCAGTGCAAGGGCAAAGAGATGGGAGACTTTAGAAGTGGCTTTATGAAAAACTGAGACAAGGACAGTTTGGCTGATCACAGGGTAAAGGGAAGAACGTAAATGTCCAATGGGGCAGAAAAAAAGAGGTTAGGGCCAGATTGTGGAGCGATTTAAAAGCTAAATAAACAAGTTTTCATTTTATCTTAGAGGTGAAGAGAAGCCACTGAAACTCATTAAGGAATATCATGAACAGGTCTACACTTAAAAATTTTACTTTGACAGCAACATGTAGGATGAACTAGATTATTGAGAAACTTGAGGCAGGGATATGAACTAAGGCTGTTGTAATCATCTAGATGAGAGGTGATGAGGGCCTGCTGAGTAAAGAAAAGAGGTCAGAAGGGAAAGATATTACAGAAGTAGAAATAGCAAAATTTGCCAACTTACTGGATGTGTGGAGTGAGGGAAAGGATAATACTGAGATTATAAACCTTCAGACAGGAACAATGGAAGTTAGTACCTTCGATAGAATATGGAAGTCATATAGAGAAATGCTAATGTTGATGTAGATACATTTTATAACTTGCTACATTGCTAAAGCTATTGCTTCAGTCGATAAAAAAAAGACATTCTCCACAAGTTTACATGACATCTTTCTGAAAGGGCCATGCTAATCTCTGTATCTTTCCAATTTCAGTATATGTTCTGCTGAAATAAGCACATTTAAGATAATATTTAGTTGAACCTATAGAGTTCTCTAGAGAGACACCATTATAGCATCCGCAAAAAATGAGCTCTATTTTTCCTTTGCCTATGTTTATTCCATTAATATTTTTCTTCTCACTGGTGTAGCTACCATTTCTAAAACTTGGATAGATATTCAGAATAGAAATTGGTCTACATTTTTCTTTCTCTGCTTTGTCAATTCCTAGTTTAGGTAGCAAGGTTACATTTGGTAGGCTCTCCACTTTTCTGATTTTTAAAAACAATTTATATAATATTGGAATTAACTATTCTTTAAATGTTTCATATGATTATTTAAAAAGCCCTCTAGTCCCTGGTTTGTTTTTTTTTTCTTGTTAAGGGGAAGGGGAGCTCATTTATGGCTTGTTAAATTTCTTTTTAAGATGGCTAGCAACTTTCTTGTTCTATTAATTGTTCTAATACTAATTTATATTTTTCTAAATATATATTTCATTTCATGTAAGTTATAAACCTTAGCAAAATAATTCTTTTGGGTAAAATAATTTGTAGTAGCTTCCTTTATTTGATCTTCAGTTGCAAATAATCCTTTTTGATACTGATGTTTTCTTCCCCCTGTTTTTTGAACAGCCTACCTTTATAAATTTTTTTCTTAAAAATTATCTCTGGGTTTTTATTTATCAATTTTTTTCCTTTCAATGTTGTTAATATTTGATTTTCAGGGATCTAGGGCCAAGATGGCAGGGTGAGGAAGGAACCCTCTAAAGCCCTCCAAAATTCCCCTCCAAAAAACTAGAAAACCACCTCAGAATTGATATACAAGCAAGGAAGCCGCTTACCAGCACAGCAGGAAAGGTCTGTCTCACTGTGGTCTGAGGGGAGCCAGGTCCAAGAGCAGCAGCAGCCAGCCTCACACCATGGGGCCTACACCAAGGCTCCAAGCCTGGGGCAATCCACCAGCAAGCCCTCCTGCAAGGCAGCAGCCTCCTTGCCTTCCTGCAAGCCAGCAGCCCTCTGAGCAAGTGAGCAGTCTGTGCAGCTAGGCAAGGCCCCACCACAACAACCCCATCCCCAGCATAAGCCACAAGCTAGGCCTTGATCCCACTGCTGACCAGTATTTCAGATCACTAGTATTTCAGATCAAGGAGAAAGTATTACAAGCAGTCAAAAAGAAACAATTCAAATATCATGGAGTTACAGTCAGGATTACACAGGATTTGGCAATTTCCATATCAAAGTGGAGGATTTGGAATATTACATACCAAAAAACAAAGGAGTTGTATTACAGCCAAGAATCACCTACCCAGCAAAATTGAATATTTTCAATTCGGGGGGAAATGAACATTTAACAAAATAGAGGACTTTCAAGCATTTCTAATTAAAAGACCAGAGCTGAATAAAAAATTTGACCTCTAAATACAAGACTAAAGAGAAATATAAAAAGGTAAAAAAGAAACAAGAAAGAAAAAACGTAAGAAATTCTTTAAGGGTACACTGTTTATATTTCTATATGGCAAGATAATATGTATAACTCTTAACAACTTTGTAATTATAAGAGCAATTAGAAGGAGTATATGTAGACAGAGGGTGTGAATATAAGGTGATCTTGATGGGATGATATCCAAAAAATTAAAATAAAGGGGTGAGAAAGAAAATTGTGTTAAAAGGAGGAGAGGGGGAGATTGAATGGGGTAAATTATCCAACATAAAAGAGGCATAAAAGAGCTATTATAATGTAGGGAAAAATATGGGGGGGGGGGCGTTGGCAGGCAAACCTTCAGCCTTATTTTCATCAAAATTAGCTGAAGGAGGGAATAATAACATACACACTCAGATATAAAAATTTTACCAGAGGCAGCTAGCGGATAGAGCTCCAGCCTTGGAGTCAGGAGGACCTAAGTTCAAATCCAGCCTCAGACACTTGACACTTACTAGCTGTGTGACCCTGGGCAAGTCACTTAACCCCGACTGCCTCACCAAAAAGAACAAAAAAAAGACTACACATTAAATATTTTAAAAAAATCTATATTACCCTTTAAGGAAGTAAAAAAGGACAGGAATAATAGAAGGGAAAGGGGAGACTGATAAAAGTGAGGGTATATTGGGGAAGGCAGTAATTGGAAGCAAAACACTAGTGAGGAGGGAAAGGATGGGGGGTAAGAGAGGAGGACAAACAAGCAAAAAAAATAACACCAAGAAAAATACACAGTTACCATAACCATAAATGTGAATGGGATGAACTCTCCCATAATATGGAAGTGGATAGCAAAATGGATTAAAAATCAGAATCCTACAATATGTTGTTTACAAGAAACACATTTGAAGCAGAGGGACACACACAGGGCAAAGGTAAGGGGTGACAGCAAAATCTATTATACTTGAGCTGAAGTAAAAAAAAGTGGGGTAGCAAACATGATCTTAGAAAAAACAAAAGCAAAAACAGATCTAATTAAAAGAGATAAAGAAGGAAATTACATCTTGTTGAAAGGTACTATAGACGATGAAGTCATATCAACATTAGATATGTATGTACCAAATGGTATAGCACCTAAATTTCTGAAGGAGATGTTGAATGAGTTACAGGAGGAAATAGAGATGGGGGACCTCAACTTTCCCCTCTCAGAACTAGATAAATCTAACAAAAAAATAAGACAGAAATTAAGAAGGTGAATAAAATTCTGGAAAAGTTAGCTATGATAGATATAAAGAGAAAAATGAATGGGAATAGAAAAGAATATGCCTTTTTTCTCAGCAGTACATGGCATGTACACAAAAACTGGCCATGTATTAGGACATAAAAACCTCACAACCAAATGCAGAAAAACAGAAATAGCAAACACAGTCTTTTCAGATCACAATGCAATAAAAATTACATTCAACAATGGACAATGGAAAAAGAGATTAAAAATAATTGTAAATTAAAAAATTTAATCCTAAAAAAAGCAAACAAATCATAGAAATAATTGATAATTTCATTAAAGAAAATGACAACAATGAGGCAACAGAACCAAAATTTATGGGATACTGGCAAACTGGTACTTAGGGGAAAATTTATATCTGTATTTGCTACATCATTAGAGTAAAGAAAAGGCAGATGAATAAATTGGGCATGCACCTAAAAAAAACTGGAAGAACAAATTTTAAAACCCCAATTAAACACCAAAGTGGAAAGCCTGAAAATCAAAGGAGAGATTAATAAAAATTGAATGTAAGAAAATCATTGAACTAAAAAAACTATAAGCTGGTTTAATTAAAAAAAAAACAATGAAATAGGTAAAACATTGGTTAACTTGATTTAAAAAAAAAAAGAACAAAACCAAATTATTAGTATCAAAAATAAAAGAAGTGAATTCACCACCAATGAAGAGGAAAATAAGACAACTGTTAGGAGCTATCTTGTCCAATTATATTCCAATAAATTTGACAATCTAAATGAAATGGATGAATATCTACAAAAATACAAATTACCCAGATTAACAGAAGAAATAAAATACTTAAATGATCCAATCTTACAAAAAGAAATTGAACAATCCATCAATAAATCTCTTAAGGAAAAATCCCCAGAACCAGACGGATTCACAAGCAAATTCTACCAAATATTTAAAGAATAATTAATCCCAATATTATATAAACTATTTGGAAAAATAGGCGAAGAAGGAGTCCTACCAAAACCCTTTTATGAAACAAATATGCTGATATCCAAACTAGGAAGGGCCAAAACAGAGAAAGAAAATTATAGACCAATTTCCCTAATAAATATTGATGCAAAAAATTTAAATAAAATAATAGCAAAGAGATTACAGCAACATATCATGAGGATCATATACTATGACCAGGTGGGATTTATACCAGGAATGGAGGACTGGTTCAATATTAGGAAAACTATAAGCATAATTGACCATATCAACAACAACACTAACAGAAATCATATGATTATCCCAATACATGCAGAAAAAGCTTTTGTCAAAATATAGCACCCATTCCTATTAAAAACACCAGAGATGGAGCAGCTAGGTGGGGCAGTAGATAGAGCACCAGCCCTGAAGTCAGGAGGACCTGAGTTCAAATCCGGCCTCAGACCAAACACTTGACACTTACTTAGCTGTGTGACCTTGGGCAAGTCACTTAACCCCAATTGCCTAAAAAAGAAAAAGAAAATGTAAAAACACCAGCGAGCATAGGAATAAATGGAGCTTACCTTAAAATAAGTAATATTTATCTAAAATCATCAGCAAGTATTATCTCTAATGGGGACAAGCTAGAAGCCTTTCCAATACAATCAGGGTTCCATGAAGCAAAGATGCCTATTATTACCTCTATTATTTATTATTGTGCTAGAAATGTTAGCTATAGCAATAAGAAAAGAAAAAGAAATTAAAGGAATTAGAATAGGCAATGAGGAAACAAAACTATCACTCTTCACAGACAATATGATGTTATACTTAGAAAATCCTAGACTAAAACTAAAAAAAAACTATTTCAAATTATTAAAACATAAACAAAGTGGAAGGATACAAAACAAAAGCCCACAAAAATCATTGGCATTTCTATATATTACTAACAAAGTCCAACAGCAAGAGATAGAAAGAGAAATTCCACAGACAACATAAAATACTTGGGAGTCTACGCGCCAAGACAAACCCAGGAACTATGTGAATACAACTATAAATTACTTTTCACACAAATAAAATCAGATCTAAACACCTAGAAAAACATTAATTGTTCATGTGCAGACCAAGCCAATATAACAAAAATGACAATTCTACCTAAATTAATCTATTTATTCAATGCCATACCAAACTATGAAAATAATATTTTATAGAGGTAGAAAAAATAATAACAAAATTCATCTGAAGGAACAAAAGCTCAAGGATATCAAGGGAATCAATGGAAAAAAAAATGCGAAAGAAGGTGGGCTAGCCATACTAGACCTCAAACTGTATTATACAGAGGAAATTATCAAAACAATTTGGTACTAGCTAAGAAATAGAGTGGTAGTTCAGTGGAACAGGTTACACA